GCTTTTAAAAAAAATTAAATACTCAGTCTTTCAAATTTAATCCAAAAACAAAGATGCATAAAAAATGGTAGATCCTGATAGTGGAAACAGATTTTTCACTTAATGAAATGCTTTTCTGTGTTTTTATAAGAAATGCAGACATGGGGAGCCAATAAAGCAGAGTCAAATGGAGACGCATMTAAATAAGTGGAAAAAAAAAAAACTTTTTGGAACCAACTGAGGTGAATTAAAAAGCATAAAATCTACACTTAAATCTGCATTTTTTTCCCTCCTCAAAGGCTTTTTTTGAGAAGGAACTGCTTGAATCATTAGTTTAATAAGTGTATTTTAAAAAAGAAGCAGAAAATCAATTTATAAACAACAAAACCTCATTTTCAGTCTGTGCTGTCTATTGGAAAAAGAGACATTAATTATTGAAGTTCCTATTATTCATCACCCTTATTCTGTCAAACGTTAGCGGGCGATCAGCTTGGTTGTTTGCGCTGAAATGAGGTCCATTATTTTAGGGACTACAGGAAGACAACCAGATATTGATTGGACAACCCATTGATGAAAACAAAAGATATTGATCTCATTCCGTCAGTCTAAATAACAACTGGCCAAGTCTTGGAGAGCATCTGAAGGTTTCTTGTTCGCAGGTGAAAGGAGGAGAAGCTTCTTTGTAATCAGTCTGGTTGTCTTGGCAGGTGGCTGATGAGACTAGAAGAACGTCCTGCAGGAGAGGAGTTAATCATAAAAACCAGTTMATCAAAACACACTCAAATAATATGCTTTACTACTGAACTCCTATAAAGTGTGCAAACATTAATTATTCTATGCTTATCACAGACACTGCAAACTGACCACAACAAACACACAAACACACACACAYGAACGCAGGTGAATTATTGAAGAGAGTCAAAATGAAAATGGGTTTTCATTTTCTGGCTCAGGCAATTTAAATTCTAAATAAACGTCAGAGCATGTAACAGTCCCAGGGAAAAACATCAATCAGAGCGACTGCTGAAGGCTGGCAGGTCATGTTGTCCACGACCCGACAACATGAGGAAGTACATGGGGCTGGATTTGGGACGCAAATGATGGGACGGGCAAACGTCTTGAAACGGCTGGGCTTTATCACCCAACGGCACATTTCGCCTCATGACACCACTATAAAAACAAAAAAATAATAATTTTTTTACACTGAATCCAGACACAGCCAAGCTGGAGCAGGAAGACTGAAAATAAACAACAATAAAGACACTCTGTCTTCCTGTTTATTCTGATTGACAGAGAGACTGTCACATGTCCTGAAGCCCAAACAAAACCGAGTGGCACACAAACACCCCCCACCACCAACTGTCGTGCAGCGGAGACGAGGAGGGTCGAGGACTGAGTCGATTACCCGAACAAGGGTGAAGCAGGAGGAGAGGTGGTGTTAGCTCTGAAGTAGATAACCGTGTCTGTAAAGTGTTGCACTGCCTTCAAACACCTTTCTGTTCACAGTGGGACTGACTGATGCTGCCTTAGGGCTGCGCACACACGCACACACACACACACACACACAAACAAGCACTCCGTTAACTACTGTCATCAAATTGTTACATTAGACACAACAAGAAAGCTGCACTTAAATAATAATTCTTACACTTCATCTTCATAATCTTTTGGAGGGGAGACAGCGATAACGACATCGATCCAGTCCTGAGGAGGAAAAGATTTTAAATCTTCATGTGACCAAATCAAGAAAAGGTTGACACGCTGGAAGTTTGATGGTACTTCTGAACCCGTACCCCTCCACTGTTCCAGGCTCGGGCCAGAGAGTTTTGCCCCTCGGTCAACGTAGCGTCTATCAGGATCTTCCCGTTCACGGCCATGAGTTCATCCCCGGAAACAATCCCACCTATAAACACACATCTGAGACCTTTAACTGTGACAAATACCCAACATAAAAACATTATTAATACATAATGCAGACTGTTTGGTCTCTGCAGATGGAAATAACACTAGTTAAAGTGTTCCACAGTGCTTCATTTAAAGATTTTGCAACATTAGTGGCTTTTATTTGACAGTATTTTACAGAAAATGGGCAGAGTTTGAAGTGAAACACGCTTAGTGGGCCCACGGGGGTTGAACAGGCTTCTGCAGAGCTTGAAGGCTTGCTAAAGCGCAGGGGCAGAACTAAAACATGCAGGATAGTGGGCCCTCCAGGTCCAGCACTGGGCACCACAGCAGCAAACTAAACAGCATCACTAAAGTTGAACAAACCGTGTTTATCTGCAGCACCGCCTTCATAAACAGAGGACACCACCAACTTCCCCAGAGGAGAGTCTGCTCCTCCTTCCAAAGCCAGATCAAGCTGTCCACTCTTTAAACAGAAACAAAAATAAAAATAAACACTTTTAGTCTGACATTATTTCATAACTAGAGTTGACAGAAGGCTTATTAACAACCTTTTTGATTCTCAGCAACCTCACGTCCCGGCCTGCTATCTGCTCAGCGGAGAACTACCAACAAAAACACAAGGATAAAAACCATCCAAAACATAAAACATTCCTAACAACCTGCTTTTATAAGAAGTAAAATAAAACTAAAGAGGTGATCACTTTCAGTTAGTTAAAACAGTTTATTTTCAGTGTAATTTACATAAATCTGCAGCATATTTCTGCATTTCAAACCAGCAGAAGCATACAATACCATGGAATAGGGATCAAAGTCTTCCACGTTTTTTTGAAATCCCTGCAAGAAAAAAAACCAACGTAAAGTTTATTCAAACGGGTTAAAAACAAAGTGAAGGAACAGGAACGTGAAGTGAACACGAGCAGTGAAAATAGAGGTCAGATTTCCTTTGACAACAAACATGCCTTGTATCCTCACAATCCTTAATCCAAAAGCAATTAAGCCTCCAAAAATAAATCCAGTAACAAGTAATTCACTAATTCATCTTAAGAGCTCRGTTATTTAATTTCATGGCAGGAGGAAGGAACCGGAACAAAGTTCAGAATCATTTTTCTCAATAAAGAATAAACAAGCATTTATCTTGCTGTTTCTTCATACGTTCTACGCAGACACTGTAATTAAAACATAAAAAATGACAACCTTTGTAATGTTTTTMTTTGCTGCCATCAGTTCCCTCAGTAAAAATCTAATACAGGGATTAAAATAGCAGAAGAATCGAATAAAACCTGAGATCAAACAAAGAAATCAGCCTTCCTGTTCTCTCACAATGCCACACAAGTGATGCTGAAACCATTTTTTAACAGTAAAACCTGAAACTGACTCCCTGCACTGACACCACCAACAGTGAGGCGTGCATTCCAACACTGAACATCGTGTCCGCTGTCACGACTGTCAGCTGCAAATCGATGGAAAAGCAGTCATGCACGAAGGGCTCAATCAAAAGGCAGCGATGCAGCAAAGAGAGAAAAAAAACATTAAAACGAGGGGAAAGCATCGCTGAGGTTACAGTGAGCCACGTTAAACCTGATGTGGGAGCRCGGGGGGTAAAACAACGAAGGAGTAAAACAGCACTCAGAAATAAAAAAGAGAGACCGAGAACAGCATGGTTTACTTGTTGTTTGCTTGATTTAAAGGATGAGTTGAAAGGGACCATCCGTTTTAGCATCTCTGGAGGCTGAAACACAAAACYAGGTGTTTATTTTCAGTAACTGTATGATTTAAAACAGTTTTCCTGGAACCCAAATGAAACATGTTTCTTATTTTAATTCTGACTACAGCCTGAAACAAACAGTCTTTAGTGTAAGAGTAAAAACACTGACTCCACTACAGCCTTCCTGAACACGTCGAGTGTGTCTCCAACAATTATCTACATGACAAATTAATCAACTCATTAGTTGCACTTTTAAATGATGGATGCTCCAAACTGATAAAGGATGCTGTGTTAAATACATAACAAACTCATTACTTTTAGTTTTAATTTTCTAATACAGAATAAGGTAGAGTAAAACCGTATCATGTGCAATTATTATCAGAATAACTGTCAATTAATATTTGGCACTGTACTGCAGTTAGTGCCATGTGATGATGTATTTTTGTGTTTGACGCACCCTTTGAGTCGCGTATGTGAGCCCAATGTTGGAAGGGAGCAAGAGCAACTAATGGTAACTCTAACAAACTTGTTTAATCACCTGAAACATCAACATAAACTGGAGTGGAGCAAACCCATTAAAGCCTCAACGTTGGCTACATGCAATGTCATCTATTAATTGTCATATTAATTGTTATCAGCWAAAATCCACAATTAATCGTGATAATTTTCTTTTGCCAATATCGCCCAACCCTAATACTAAATGCTGATTTTTTTCAGCCCTTTTTGTTACTTGCAATCTAACTACTTTTGTTACTTTGTGCTATCTAACCATTCAGATATACATTTTATTACTTTAACTTTGACTAGCATTTTACTATCTTAGCTTTTTGCTACTTTTAAAAGGAGACATCATACTTTTAAACCTTGTTTTTCACATTTAAATMATTCAGTTGGAGTCTATAAAAAGTGGAACTGCAATACTTTGCTGAATTCCTCTATTGTAACTCCACAAGCCCCTCTTTCACCTCTTGTCTCATATCAACTGGTTTGATGCTATCATTTTCGACTTTTAGCATTTTGCTAGTCCTGATTTATTCAGCTTCAACACCTCAGTTTCAGCTTTTAACACATTTAGCATTTTAACACTCAGCATTCATGCCGCATTTTCTCAGAACATGCAGTTCTTCCAGTTTAGCTTAAACCCCAGTCAAGGGAGATGCATTCGAAATCCTCAACGGTAATCTTTTATGTGCAATTACGAAAAAGCTTATTTGCTGGAAACCACAACCATGTAATCAAGCTGTCGGGGGATCCAGAGTCAGTGGGAGAGTAAATGTTTTATTGTATCAGCTTCTGCAGCTGCGACAATTAGCAAAGCTTTGTTCAGTCTTTTACCTCTAATTGCAGAGCTAGAAAACCTGTGGTGATGAACTGCTGTATGAACTTATCCAGAGTAAATACACCTTGTAAAATAGATAATTACTTGATTTTAATTAGAGTTTCTGAAACTAATGAAAACTGAATACATATTTGACATAAAAGCAACAAATTTGTTGAACTTAACAAGGCAGCTGATTACAAAGTGTCAAATATGTGATTATTCTATTTATTTTTCCAGCTAAACAGAGGTTTGTGCAGGGAGAGTTAGGCGTGTTTCGTACCAGGCCATCAGAGCGGACAGCAGGTCTGTGTGGATCTGGTCGGGCGGCCTGYGTCTGGGGCAGCATGACGGGTTTTGACATGACAGGGGCCATCTGACGTCTCTGGTTGGGAGGACTGGGAGCCAGTTGCTGTTGGTGGTAAGCCAAGTTTCCAAGCAACAAATTTACAAACCTCATYGTGAGATTCCAAAAAAAAAAGCACGGGTTTGACATGATTTCCACAAAATGAGGCTCACCAGCTGACTGCTTGTGTTGGAAACACGACTGGCATGGGAAGTATTTCTCATTACCTACAACACAATGGATCTTTCAGCCCTCTGGCACAACCAGAGCGCAGCAAGAAATATCAAGGCAAAACACACCCAAAACCTYTCTTYGTTTTCTTATGTATCACAACAACGCATCCATTTCAAAAAGATGAACCTTCAACAATCTATTAAAATCAAATCAGACTCATTTCTGTGAACTGCAATCCAACAAGCAACTATCAATAACACCCTACGGTCACGGCAATAAAACATTTTACTTTCTCTTCATGCATAAACACTTCAAAGCACAGCAAACACATAATGGTATTTTGAACATTGCTATTATAATAAAAAAAYATTATTCCTCAAAAGTTGTAGTAAAATCTAAAAATAATGTGAAGGACAATCTGTTGGCTCTTGAGTATGTGTCGGCTTCGATCATWTACAAATTTAACTCAAAATACGTATGTAAAACTGACAAAGATATAAATTATTTTTGTGTTGTGTAAAGTAGGATGAGCGATATGACAGTATTTTGATATACCTTGGTATTAACGTGACAGTATTTTAGTATACGTTGGTATTAAAATATAGACAGTATTTTGGTATACCTTGGTATTAACGTGAAAGTATTTTAGTATACGTTGGTATTAAAATATAGACAGTATTTTGGTATACCTCAATATTAAAATATGGAGAGGAGACAGTATTTTGGTATACCGCGGTATTAAAATATGGTTACAGTATTTTGGTATACCTTGGTATTAAAATATAGACAGTATTTTGGTATACAGCGGTATTAAAGTATGGAGACAGTATTTTGGTATACCTTGGTATTAAAATATAGACAGTATTTTGGTATACTGTACCTCAATATTAAAATATGGAGACAGTATTTTGGTANGTATTTTGGTATACCTCAATACTAAAATACGGTGACAGTATTTTGGTATACCTCAATATTAAAAAACGGTGACAGTATTTTGGTATACCTCAATATTAAAATACGGTGACAGTATTTTGGTATACCTCAGTATTAAAATACGGTGACAGTATTTTGGTATACCTCAGTATTAAAATACGGTGACAGTATTTTGGTATACCTCAATATTAAAATACGGTGACAGTATTTTGGTATACCTCAATATCAAAATATGGTGACAGTATTTTGGTATACCTCGGTAATAAAATACGGTGACGGTGTTTATAAATTATAATATTAATCATGTGAGGTGAATCGCCAAATTTCCACAAGTCTGCACTGAAAACTGGAACTTAAACATCATGAGTTGTAGATGTTCTTCAAATGAATACTTTCATTAAAATCCATCCAGTGGTTCACCAGATATTTTGCTAACAGACAGTGGGCAATGGTTTTAACAAAACTCCATGCAGAAAGAAACATTTTCTGTTTAAGATAAAAGGGGCAAGCATCACTCTTCACACGTGGAAATCAAACCTTTGGACTTGGGGGGTACGACATTTCACTGGTGTTGGAGGAATAAATCCCCCCTCTGGGGAGATACCCGCCCGCTTCCCACTCGCTCCTGCTGGGGTCGGGAGGACTGGGAGGACGCTGCAGGTGATGATGATGCTGGCGGTAACCGCCGAGGGAGCCTACGCGTTCCTCAGAGTGCTGCGGGGGAGGGGGCGGAGGAGGAGGCGGCGGCGGTGGTGGAGGAGGCGGTGGTGGAGGAGGGGGGTGCGGCGCGGGCTGAGGGGAGGACGGTGGCCGTGAGGACCGAGAGGGTCCAGCGTACTGGGATGAAGACGAGCGGGGAGCTTGTGGGTTACGCCTGCGCCCTTTGTTTGTCAGAGTGGAGGAGGCGGGGGGAGGTTTCCTGGAAACGGGCGGGGAAGAAGGGCGTCGCTGCGGGGAAGCTCGAGACGGAGGCGGGGAGTAGCTGGAGATGGTTGGGTTCAGTCTGGGCGAGGGTGGAGGAGGAGGCAAGGGAGGAGGGGGTAGGTTGGTGGAGGGCTGAGTGGGGGACAGTTTCTTCAGGGGCCCTCTCAGGCTCGGATCCACCTCGTCCAGGTTTATGTCATCCAGGTCTGTGGTGGCCAGGTGGAGCCCGCCGGGAAAACGCTTCACTTTGGGCTCAGAGGCAGGAGAGCGCGGCGGGGAGAGCTTTAGACCACAAACAAGAAATATTTCAAAATATAATTTATACTCTAACATGACTTCCTGTTTAATCTATCAATGCAGCTGATTTGAACCATCATCTAAAGTGTTTATATAAAGATGGTGACTCGTCTGTTTTTATATTATAACCTGTTTTATATGTTTTGTAAACTAATCTAAACTACTGGATATAAAGGATGCTCACTTTTAGCACTTAAATAATATTTTTCATATTATATTATATTTGGCTCATTCAGGCTAACATTGTAAATAAGAAATTGTTCTTAATGAAATAAAGGTTTAACTAAATTAGAAAACTTGTGCAATATTATTGTTTAACACTACAAGGACAATATTTAAAAAAATATAAATTTTCTCTCTTCTTTTTTTTGTCCTCTGTTATGT